TGCCAAAAATTATGTTTGATCCTATCCATGAGTATGGTGGTACATGTGACTTCGCTATAATCATCAAATGGTAAAGTACCCCCAATTACATCCATTCCACCCTCTCTACTGAGGAAACTGGAGTCCAAATGACTTGAGAAATCATAGCTAAATGGAAGCAGACCCAGGACTAGAATTCAAAACTCTCAATTAGTTTATTTCCTCTTCTTATCTTCTATGCAAAAGTACACTCAGAATATGAAACACTCTACTCAAATCTGATGAACACTAAAATAGTTGTGGTTTGAAAATATTTGTCACTGAATTTGTGGAAGTACCTAAAAATAGTGTTTTCAGTGTTTTGGCTAACAGAAAAAGACATTTCTGTAAAATTGGTACTTACCCAGCAAAACCTATTTTTCACCATATTTGTTCTACCAGATTTCAAAGACTCCTTCAGTGCTCTAAGATGGACTTGTAAATGCTAAGTCCCTAGAGGGTTGGCTGTCTGCCCTTGCTACCAAGCTAGACACTGTCCATGCTCCCAAGTTCTTGTAAACCTCTTAGTTCATATGGAAAAAATATTTTTCACGATTATGTGATCATGGAATTTTATTAAGCCAAAATTTTTGTTACCCCCAACATGTGTTCCCATGGCAAAGAACAATCCACATCTCAGGATTTCCTGAGGATTCACATGCTTATAAACAGACTACTCAGGGCAACGGGTGTTCTAAAACAAGGACACATTTCCCAGCATGAGTTTCTTCCCTGAATTGAAATGGGGAATGGTGGAAGAGGATGTTGTCCCCATGGTCCAGCTCTAGTGTCTCTTCCTACCTTGCTTATTTTCTACATAGGAAAGCCACCTCCCGAAGCCCCCACTGGAATGGAAACTCCATGAGGACCAGGATGTTACTAGTTTGTCTCCAGCTGTATTCTTGGAACAAGGCCTAATACGAGATAGATGTTTACTCCCTGCATGTTGAGTGGATGGCTGAATGATGGATTTGTTTGGGTTTAGTGCCTCATTTGGCATGAGTTTGTTGACAGAGGAGAAAGGGAGCATATTTTGGTTCAAAGCACCATGTATATACCTGGAACTTGATCAGAAAATATTATGTGTTTGCTTGTATGCTGTAGTGGGGCAACCAGGCTCAGGGCATGCCGTGGGAGGGTTGGCAAGCCTCCCAGCTCCTGGGGAATCTTTTTGGCTTTCTCTCTTTCTCTGGGCTCTTTGGCGTTCTCTTGCACTCATCATCTTGACTCTTCTGTGGTTATGTTGCTGGACCTCTTGTAGCCATCCTTACATCCCTGGCCTATAGGCTCAGGTGTGCACACTTACCCACACCCATACTCAGGTGTCCACATTCCCAAGTACCTTCTGCATGAACACGATCAAGGCCGCAGGTGATAGCCACAGAAGCTAGTGGTGTATAAAGCCTGATTAATTCACTTACCCTACACATGCTATTTTTTTAATTCTGCTTTAAGTATTTATAAAGATACTTTAAGATGGAGATTCCTCCTGCTGCCCAAGAATGTGAGCTTTGAATCAGAAAACAAAAATATTAAGTTTCCCATCAAATTGAAGACTATGCATAGAAGAAGCAAAAAATAAAAGGGAGGAGGGAGGGATGGAGGAAGGAACAAAAGAAATGTGACCATCTCCAAAATGATCTTGGGATTCAGAAGACAATGACATTTGCTATAGAAAAATTGACTCTGTCCCAGACCTGTCTATTGCACATCTATAGCTGCAGATTTCGTAGATGCAGAGGAATTTGGGTAAATATCCTAACACAGGATGCATTTTCCACTTCCCAAATTTGTCAATGTCTATTTAATGAGTTTACTGGCAAAATCTTTCAAAAGAATGCATACATGAGTGACTTTTTATAATAAATTTTTTAAGAAGAGAAAAGCCCCATAGGGGATGCTGTGGTAGCACACTGCGTCCTCTCTCCCATCTGAGGTCAGCACGCATCATGTTGGACAGTTACCACCATGAGAAAGTGCCACACATGCTGCCAATACCTGCCCCGGCTTCTCCAAAATCAGCTCATGCACAGGTGCAGCTAGAAGTTTGTGTATGTCAACCCCAACCAGTAAGTGCGGTATCCTTCTCCAGGTACTGGTGAGGCACACTCTACCCAGCTCCCCAGAGGGGCCTTTGTGGGATTGGGTCCCAGTTAACCACTATGGCAACCTGCGGAATAACACACTTTATTAGCTGTTCTCCTTCTCTTCTCCTCTCTCCCTTTCCTGCGCTTTGACTTTCTGGAGTCGCCTCCCAAATACACTACCTATCCCCAAATCTTCATCCTAGCTCTGGTTTCCTAAGAGACCCTAAGAAGTTAATGTTTGAAAAAAAGGCAAAATGCTTTGCCCTTGGCATCCAAGACTGACAAATAATTGACATTCAATAAGTTCTGAAACAGTGGCCCAGGAAACCGCTTTTCTAGAAGCGGTTCTTCACTACTTAAAATAATGTGTTTCATTAGGACCATACATTACTCTTCTGATTTCATGCCTTACCTTTTTGTTTTTATCCTGCAGATTCTTCTGGGAAGCCTAAATTCACCAAGTGCCGTTCACCTGAACTAGAGACTTTTTCATGCCACTGGACAGATGGGGTTCATCATGGCTTAGCGAGCCCAGGATCCATACGGCTGTTCTATATTAGAAGGTGCAGCCTTCATGCTTTCTAACTTTTCTCTCCATGAAATTTCCTATTAAATTATAGCAACGTGCATGCAGTGGTAGGAGCAGAAATGATTTATTTTAGTGACCTAGATGTGCTCATTCATTTCATTTATTCAGAAAAGTATCAAGCCCCTACTATGTGTTGGGTAATATTGCTGGCAGTGGAGCTATGGCAAGTAATTGCAAAAAGATAAGTCCCTCATTTATAGCTTGGGAAGACAGACAGTTAAAAATTAATGAAATATCAGCTGGTAATAGGGGTTATTAGGAAAAGTAAAGTCAGAAAAGGATAGTCAGCAATATGTGTGAGTGTGTGTGTGTATGTGTCTGAGGGTGAATGTGTGAAAGTGTGGGTGTGAGTGAATATGCATGAGTGTACACATGTGTAAAAGTATTATGAGCAAATGAGTGAATGTGTGGGAGTGTGCGTGAGAATACATATGCCTGTGTGTGCATCTTTAAATGTACATATGTGAGAAAATGAGCGTGAAAGTGGGTGGTTGTGCATCAGTGTGTACATAGGGAGCTTGGGTGATTTTTTTTTTGGGGGGGGGGCAATATTTTAAATGAAGAGGTCATAAGCCTTCTCTAACATAATGCATGATGGTAAAGACAAATGAAGAGAGAGAGGTCACATGAATATTGGGGGAAAGGTTGTTCAGGCAGAGGAATTGCAAGTGCAAAGGCCCTGGGGCCAATGTGGCAAGCTTGGGGAAAGCTGGAGGCCAGCATGGATGATGCAAGGCAGGAGGTAGAGAACGTTACAGGAGAAGAGTTCAGAGTTAACCAGGGCCAGACTGTTCCATGCTTTGTAGGCCATGGCAGACTTCAAAATTTTACTTTACCTGTGGTGAGCTTTTGAAAGGATATGTTTAAAAAGACTCGGTTTGGTTTCTTTGGAGAAAAGAGACTTTGTTTTTCTTAATAGCATACAATTATTTTACATCCTTGTTTGTTTTTCACGTTATAGGATTGTCCCCCCTCAGGTATGGTCACCATAATTTCTCACCACCAAAGTGCTCATAGTCCTCCACCATAGTCCATTGTGCTCTCCCCCACCTGTATTCTAAATTTTAGGTTCAAACACTCTCACATCTCCTCTTCTCCATCCATACCCAGGGAAGATCTAAGCCTAGATGAGAGGTTAGCAGGACTCTTTATCTGAAGCCAGAGGTGTTATTCAGTCCCCAGAGAAGGCTACATACCCCACAGAGGAGCAGAGAGATGCAGCGAGCAGCTAAAGGCCTGGGCTCAGGGCCAACAAACTGCCTTTCATCCCCACTCAGCCTCGCTCCCCCAATAATGCTGGGCAGATGAGTACAAATAGGAGCTAATAGATCGTGCCTCCTGGCTTCTTGTGGGGGGTTTATAAATACAGGAAAAACCTGTAGTTTTTGGTGCACAGTAAGCTCTCGATAAATGGTGACTGCTATTCATATTATTGGTAATACAGTGATAATTTAAAATAATAACGACATACAATTCCAGTTCCCAGACTACAAAAGTCTTCACTGCTTGTGATCATTGATGTGCTACATGATCATTTTTTATGCAGAGTTGGGTGCTTAATTTGCTAATAAACACTAAGTTCACAACCAGGACCCACCTTACTCGCCATCCAGCTATCAGAGGTGTCTCTTGCGTCTACCCCAAAGGGCACTCAAAGATGAGATGTTTGGGCACCAAATACATTTTTTTTTTTATTAAGTCTGGTACTGCAGAGAGGTTTAGGCCAATAGTCAAAGTCAATTTGTATAAACACATTTGAATAGTAAGCCATGTTTGGTGACACTGCCAGATATCTGTGAAGAGAGATTCATAGGTTCAATGTTAATGCTTTTGCCTCAGCAACCTAGAGAGCCAGCTCAGCTCAATCAAAACAAATTAAGTTATTTGTATAGCACAGTAAACTGGATAGAGAAATGGCAGCCTTGAGCCAACTTTCTGAAAATAGGTTTTCACCACCCAATTACTCATCAAATTTGAACCTGAGCAAAAAGAGAAATCCAAAGGTATGAGGCCTTCACAAGTACTTGCATGTCCCTAACCTCCATCTGTCAGGCCATGTAACTTTGCCTCTCAGCCCCTTCTGCACACCCCACGCCTTTCAGCATCCCTGGTCCAAACCCAGACTCTGTACTAACAGAGATACCTCTGTCAGGGGGGAGGAAAAATCTCCAGCATATTCAGAAGGGTGTCATTAGTTTTTGCCCTAGTGAAATTTGGGATCCCAGAGGAAAAGACTGTCATATCCCTAGCCTTATGATGAGTGCCAACCCAAACTGGCAAAATCAGGATTCTGTGTTTTCTCTGTAAACAGAGAGTTATTCTGAATATCTCAGCTAAAATAGCGTAAGTTGTCAGCCCGGTTTGTCCGAGAAAGGGGATGAGGACTACACAGCCCATTAGCGTGCGAATGTGTTACACTTCAAGTGGCCAGTCACAAAGAGGATGACGTAGATGCACTATGCACTCGTGTCATTGTTTCCTAGAATCCAGTCTCCAGGCAACTGCAGACTCCTTCATCACGCCTGGCGCACATGCTACTGTGCTGAGGTTGCATTCCTAAGAGCAGTAGAGGCAGGAAGAGGCCAAGAAGGGGCCACTGCCCTGGGCTTTCAGTTCCCAGCCTTGCCCAGGGAGCTCAAGCACAAGGGAACCCCAACACGAGCTGTCAGCAGCACAGGCCCAGAGGCAGCTCAGGCTTGCTTGGCTCTGCTCCCGTCCAGGTGAGCTGGCAAAAAAGACAGTTCAATCCAGAACAGTCTGCACCCCATCACAGGGACAATGTCAGGTTCGGCCTCTATGGGGACTCAGGGTAAATTCAAATCACAGGCCCCCCCATAAAAGGGGGCTCTGGGAGCCTGTCAGAGTTGCTCTACTTCAGCTCTAGGCCTGCAAACTCCTGTTTTCAAAGGCAGCAGGCTTGTGAAGCCCATAAGGCTGTATCCTCCACCTCTGCCTCTCCTACACAAAGCCCCTCTCAAAAATGTATCCTGGTCTTTTAAAAGAAAGTTTATTTTCTATGCAAGGTTGAGGAGGAAATTACAAAGGAGAAAGGGCATTGTCACTTTTCTTTTTTCTGTTAAACCTAAAACGCATGATCTGTATATAATGAAAACAGTTGTCCTTCAAACACAAAGGATGTTTTATTTTATGATTTCATTTCCACTTGGTTAGCTCTAAATCGGAAGCATTTCTTCTGCTCTTCTGATTTTTATTGATAATCTCTTTTTACAGTTCTCACTCCTGTTTCACAAGGTAGTCTGGGAACACACCTAAAGCACTTAACTCATGACAGTCAGAGAAAAAGAGAGAGACGTTTCCATAAATGGGCTTTGAGCCTCTGTAGAGAAATTCAGCCCAGTGAAGGCAGACAACAGTTTTGTCTTGAGTCCAATTGGCTTCTTTTCTAAATTTAATAATTTAAAGATAACTTTTAAATATTTAAAGTAAAACTCAACTTTGGTGCATAAGGGAGGGGATTAGGATTCTGTTTGGAACCACTTGCCCTTGTTCCATCATGCGTAAGTTAAGTGTTTTAAGTTGTTTGTGCAGCTAATGGATTTTGGATCATCTGTATGGGGTTTTTCATAGAGTCCCCAAGGGGACTTGGGTTCTGACATGCCAAAGTTGAGAAACTACCTGGAACACACAGCTAACCTCCCCATATAAATCCCGACCTGTTACGTGCTGCCCTACATCTTTAGGACACTTTCACACTAACTTTAGTTCCATCTGTTATACTAACTGCTGGTGTCATCCCCACTGTAACATGAAAGGCCCTGGGCAGTCACTTTCTGGGCAGTCTTGTGAAACCATTCTCTTTAATGTATTCTTACTTAGTTTGAAAGTCAAGATAAAATAAACCACTCTGTGATTCAGTGACCCACTTATCCCTAAATGTTTTTAGCTTTTCCCTACTGTAGTAAATGCACACATACATACACACGCACACATATACACAACATATCCTTTTTATACCCTCTGCCTACTTAACTTTTCCCATCAAATGAATCTCCCTCTCATCCAAGGGTATGCCTCTTCTTGGAATCTCAATCAGAATTTAAGCAACAGGGCCTCCCTGGTGGCACAAGGAGTTAAGCACCGCGCTATGAAGCAATCCACAGCCTCTGCAACATGAGTTCCATCCCCAGCTGGCCAGGGAGAAACCCACATGGCACAGCAGACCTCTCCTGTCTTGCCCACTACTCCCCTCAGCAGTGAATTTCAGTCAGTCTGCCTGTTCTGTTGCCCGCTCTGTCTCTGGTGGATCTTCTCACTCCCCACATCTCTGGCCTGAACCCCAGCTCTCGTATGCATAAGTAAATAAATCTTTTTTAAAAATTAAAAAAAAAAAGAATTTAAGCAACAGTTCAATGTCTCAGAGCCTGGTGTTTCTACCATGTTAATTCCAGTTCTTCCCAACAGCGGATGAGCAGCTGTCTCAAGGACCCCCTGGCACTACACAAGTTTCTGTCTGGTGCCAATCAGACCAGCCTGAGAAACAGCTGTAAAGAAGAAAACCTGTGTCTTCCCCCAGCTCCTCATCCCTGCTCACCCCACAACCTGCAGCACCAACCCTGTTCCCATCCCTCAGAGGGGTCCCTCAGACCCCTCTCGGCCAGGTCTGTCAGCCAAGACACTGCAGCCCACACCAGGTCACTCCTACCTTTTTCTTCCTCAGCCACAAATTACCTGGCTTTATGCCTCCTTAATATATAAATCCTCTTCTCAGCTGATACCCAATGAAGAATAAGGAATAATGAATTATTCCACCCAAGGAGCAATTCTAACAAAGTGTTTCCCAACTGTTCCATTACCCTGGTCCCCTCACCACACTCATACCCACACTTCCTTACCTCATACCCTTGGTCACTCTGTTCCTGTCCTTCTTTCCTTATTGCCATAAGAGCAATCCTTCAAGAGCACGAAAAACGCCTGGAAACTTTCCACGAACAACTAGAGCAATCATTCCTTCTCCCGAACTCCTAAGAGAGTATAATGAGCACTTCCTGTGAGCACTTAACCACAGTGCTTTGTCATACACCTGCAGTAAGTGTCATTCCCTGCAGTAAGTGTCATTCGGTAATGCCCCAGAGTGTGCACCACAATGTTTATATATAATCAATGCTCATTAAATATCGATGGAATGAATGCAAGAAACATATCTATGCATAAATAGAGAGCACATTATATATATGTAACAATTATATATAACGTTACTCAGATGGTCATTTCTAGGGTAATCTAGCCTGGAGAAAGGGAGCAACTCTTCTAATCATCATACCTGCACAATGCTAGGTGCCAGGTGTGAGGCTTATATAGTGGGCACCCAAGGATGGTTTGCTAAATTCATTCACTCAGACAGACGGGGCGTTGAAGAGCTGGGGCACATTCTAGGATACGTTTGCTCTGTTCCCACTCAGATGGACTTGAGTCTGAGCAATCTTTTGATTGCTCCACATTTATGTTCTGGTTCCCCTTGGCAGCTGACCAGGGAATTTCCTTTCCCCAAACTAACTTATTTGCTGGCATCTCTTTTCCATTGAATACACAACCTGCTATTGTTCTAAGTCATCTGGGTAAATGATGCTTTCTGGAGCCTGGAATAGAGGGAAATGACTCTAGAGAGGACTGTGAATTTGGAGACAGACATTTTCTGATTTATTCACTGTTCATGTGTCCATATATCCTCCATGGATTTTTATGTTTGTTTTTATCTGATCCAAGACATAGGAAAAGATGGACTTATTCTTCATAGAGAACCAAGAAAAGGAACAGATCAGCAAACCCATGATTCAATTCAATCCATTTTTGTTTTGCCTTTTTAAAAAAATATTTTTTGGATACTATAATTAAATTTCTATTCCTATTTACAAAATAAAAAAATATGCTTTCTGAGTTTAAATTTCTGGATTCATGCCTTTTGTCTTTCAGGGGCTAGAGGAGAATGTCTAGCATTCTCCTGTTTCATAAATGCCCAACATATTTGAAATGGTTATATGCCTCTTTATATAATTAAGGAAAAAAATCAGTTCAGTAAGGAGACCAAAGCATCAGAAGACTCACCCAAGCATAATACAGCCTTGGGGAGATGCATGCAGGATGCAGTGTTTCAAAGTAGGGTAGTAGCCAATTTTCTGCCTCAAGACCACACAGGACGTGGGTGCCTCGGCCTGGAGGACACCATCTGTGCTTTTTCAGATTCCTCCGCCATGAATTCGGTAAATGCCAGGTCCAAAGATGCTGTTCTCTGGAAATCTCTATAGTTTGTGAATTGGTTCTCTAGAGTGTTTTAATAAAGGAACTTTTTTTAAACCTCCCTAAGCCTCAGAACCCTTGTCTGTAAAAAGGGGATAGTAAAGGACCTAACCATAAATCACTTAATTGAGGCACTAGCACATCCTATGCAGTCAATAAGCAGATATAGTTGGCAAATACAGTTTTACTATAGGCAGACATGCCAGAGGGCTTCCAATCCATATGGAGACACTAATATTACCCACAGGTATGATACTTGTTGGAAGTGGTGCTGCTGAATTACTTGCTCATAAATATTTGTGTTCCAATTTACTGAATCTGACTGTCAAACACTTCACTCTAACATAAGCTATGGCATGGATTTGAGAACAATTCACCCTTTTTTACCCTCCATTTCAGGAGCACTCAAGAATGGACTCAAGAATGGAAAGAATGCCCCGATTATATTTCTGCTGGAGAAAACAGCTGTTACTTTAACTCATCTTATACCTCCATCTGGATACCCTACTGTATCAGGCTAACCAACAATGGGGGTACCGTGGATCAAAAGTGTTTCTCTGTTGAGGAAATAGGTAAATTACAGGTTTGTGTTTTGTTTGACATGACTCTAGATTAAATAAGTGGGGAGGTCTGCACTGTCCACATGCATTTGAGTAGGAAGGTCATTTCACTCTGTAGGTGTATGGACATCTACTTCACAGGACATGAAATCAGCTAGTAAACAAGAGGGGAAAGGCAGGGAGCACTGACATTGACTCTAACATAAAACAACCTGGCAGTAAATGTTGTAAAGAAAACAATGGGAGCCTTGTGGAGGCTTCCCTTGAGGAGGTCTTTAGAGAACTCTCATAGCCTCTACAAGGGAAAAACTCAGTGTTCTCTTTAGATTCTTTCCTAAATTATTTGATGTAATTATTATATTCAGCTCAACTGAAGAAGTTTGGCCCTTGATCTCATTGCTATAATAAAAGCCTACATTTTCTTTATCACAAAGCATGGTAATTCTGGAATTTTATATTTACTGAACCATCAAATCAGTTTAAAGATATGTTATAAGATCCCAAGACAAACATTGGAGACAATCAGTTCAGTGAACAAAGGGAAAGATCCAGACTATCCCTTGTCCATCATGTGGACTCAGGGGGAATGAAACAAAATAAAACAGATATCTACAAGCGGAATATTCCTGTTTATACTATAAGAGTGTGTAAGTAGCAAAATAGAAAGTATCTAAGAACTTTGAGTAGCTGACACCAGTGTCTCAAAACTATCCACAAATAGCCTTTGTTGCTTATAGGAATTCCTTGTGCCTTGTCTCAAATTGGCGGTTCTTATATGGGTTTCCCAGTCATCAGCCAACTGGAAGAGACTGAGAGGGTGTGGCTAGAAGCTGCAGACAGAAACAAGTAAATCTGATAACCTGATTTTGAGGGAGAAGATTGAGAAAACTGTAACAAGCAGATAATAGAATCCAAATACATGGTTTAGAGAGTAACATTTCCCTAACGTCAGTGAGTAGCTGTGTTGAGGGGCTAAATGGGTGTACCAAGAATGCTGGGTGACAGCCTGAGTTCTAACCCTGGCCCTGCCAATAGCCAACCCCCCTCATTCACCTTGCTGACTTTCACTGAGTGCCTGTCATGTGCTAGGCATGTGGTGATTCCAAAATGAGTACGATCATGAACTAGGAGAGTCAGACATGTGACAAATAATCGCAGTACATCACAGTAGGTGCTGGGCTTGTGGTGTGTGGAATGCATAATGAGCCAAGGGCAAAGATTTAAGGGTTTGCCTGGGTGAGGGATGGGGAAGCCTACACAGAGATGAGGGTAGTTATTCTGTAAAGCTTCTGTGGGAGTTACGAGGTATACAAGATGGATCATTCCTCTCAACAAATACTAAGTTCCAAAAGTCTCAAACAGCACAGAATAATCAGTTAGGCAGGCCTGACTGGCCACCCAGAGAAATCTTAAGTGTTTTTGTGTAGTCCATAAAGGAATTTTAATTTTATCTTACTGCCAACAGGTACATTTAAGGATGTTTAAGCAGAAAAAGTACAAAGGAGCCACCATGGGTCAGATATAATAACCATGTGAGGTTGTTTCCATTATAGTCCCCATTTTATGGATGAAGCTGAGGCTCAGAGCAGTACAATGACGAGCTCATGATCAAACAAAGCTGTGATTTGAACCTACAGCGTGGAAGCATTCTGAGTCTGTACCCTTAATCTTAAAGGGCTCTCAGCGTTGGCTTCCCTGGGACGTGACAACTGAGAAAAGCAGGAAATGAGAGAACAGCCATGTGTGTATGTAAGGAGCAGGCATTTCAGCGAAAGGGCACAGCAAGGGTGAGGGGCCTGAGGTGGGACCATGCCTTTGCTCTCAAACAGGGTGGTGGGGAATGAGCTGGCACAGAGTGAGCAAAAAAGAGAGCTATGAGAGAGCCGATCAAAGAGATCAAGAAAGTCAAAGCTAGATACCCTTTAGCCCTTTGTATAGACTTTCGCTTTCACTTAGAATGAGATAGGAAGCCTTTGGAGGGTTTTCAATGATGAGTGGCATGATTTAAATGTGGAGGCAGTCACTATGACAACTATATTGAGGGTCTTACATTTAAGGATAGACCGAGAGGGGACAGAGACCATAAAGAGATCACTTACGCGACTAATGAAGCAGTGTCAGTAAAAAATAATAATGACAAGCACCAGGATACAGAGGTGGAGGGGGCGAGAAGTGGTTGGATTCTGGGAATATCTCAAAGTACGGCTGACAAAATGTGGGTGGGTGAGAAAAAAAGAGTAAGGAAGAGGTCACCATTTTTATCCTGAGCAACTATCAATGGAGCCATCTTGTTGGAGATAGGGAAGCCGAAAGAGGGGCAAGTTCTAGGGGGATGACTAGGGACTTGTTTGGAGATGTACTTAGTCTCAGATGCTTTTTAAACATCTTGGAGGAGTTGTCAAGGATGACACATGGAAGTGTTTACAGAGGGAGGGGAAAGGTTACAATTAGAATAGTGGTACCGAGCCCCTCAAAAACCACCTTGTTCCTTATCCTGTTTAAAATAGAAAGGAAAAATTTTAAGATGTAACCTGAGTATTACATTTTAGAAATGTTCCCATTTTTAATCCTTACTTTTATGAATCTGACCAGCTATTTTATCAACATAGAGAAGCACAATCCTTACTTTTATGAATCTGACCAGCTATTTTATCAACATAGAGAAGCACAATCCTTACTTTTATGAATCTGACCAGCTATTTTATCAACATAGAAAAATATTTTTTATAGTTCAAGTCACTTAAAGGGTTAAGCTTAAGTCATCAGAATTCCTCCCAACAAACTCAAGGTGAAGTTTTATTCTCATTGTTTTGCCACATGGAGCTTGTTACTTTACAAATCCCTCTAATTTAATTCACAAAATGTGGTCATGATTAGTCATGATTTTTAAAAAGTGGGCCCACTTTTTAAAGGGGTGACCAACAGCATCCTTCACAATAAGCTCTGTTTCCACTGAAGTGAATACAGAAGCTTCCCCTTTGGGACACCAGATTTTAACAGCCAGTAAGAACTCACAGGCAGCTCCTCACAACATGTATTTGTACTCTTACCTCTGATCCACCCTGGAGACTCAGACTTTGAAAAAAATCTGGTAAGTAGAAAAGAAAGTATATGGTACTCTAGCTGCAAGTGATTTTAATTTACTGGGGACTACCTAGAATATAAATTTAGATACAGTTTCTAGCTTTGAAATCCACATTTCTCTTCATCAACATTGGGGAAATTGTGGTGTTTGCTGTCCTAATTAGCAGAGTGCAACAGATTTACCTAAGGCTGTATGTACTGTTATGTTTAAACCCAGTAGGTGATCTTGACTCTCTTCCTTCAGTTTTGAATTCATTCCTTTGACCAAATCCCAAAGCATTAATCCTTTCAGAGCTAAAAGAAATACCAAGGATGGCAGATCTTCAAGAAAAGTTATAGATCAGATCAAAGTTTAGACCCAACTATGAATTTTTTGAAGAGCTCTTTTAAAAGCTAAGAACAAGTTATCCTGAAGTTAAAACATGTTTTCTTACAAAGTGAGAGTGTAGTAATAGGAATATTGGAAGAAGTAAGAGTATGAGAAATGAAAGTACATCGTTGGGTCTCTTCAGAAGAAAGCATTTCACTGCTTTCACCCCTGTCTCTCTGGGTACTAATCACCTGTTGAAATGCGCAGTGCAACCCGATCCACCCGTTGCCCTCAACTGGACTTTACTGAACATCAGTTTAACGGGGATTCACGCGGATATCCAGGTGAGATGGGAGCCGCCACCCAACGCGGATGTGCAGAAGGGGTGGATAGTCCTGGAATACGAACTGCAGTACAAGGAAGTAAATGAGACTCAGTGGAAAATGGTGAGATATCGTTACACCTTCCTTAAAAATCCTTTAGCTTTTCAACTCTTTTTATTTCTACTACCTCCTCTCATTTATAATTAGACTTCCTTTTGACCTAGTACTCTAGACCCACACTCCATAATTTATTTGAGCAAAACCAATGTAATCAGGAGAATGTCATCTTGGACGACCTTAAATTCTGTCTCACTTGGGACTTATATAGAAACCTATCGAAGGAAAGGAGAGCTTTCCTTAGTCATCCTTGTTATCCAGTTTAACTTTGGAACAAAAATCATATTCTCTAACCACTGAGCTGTCTTTAGGAATGTAGTTAAGAGTAGAAAGGGTTATGATCAAATTCAACAGTGAGCCATGCAATTTGCAGCAACATGGATGGCGTTGGAAGGGATCATGCTCAGCGAAATAAGCCAAAAAGAAAAAGAAAAATACCGGATGGTCTCACTCATAGCAGGAATCTAGAAAACTTAAATAAGGGACTAGGAAAATGAATATAAGAAAGTGAAAATCAAAATCAACAAAAAACTATGAACCAGAGACACTTTTTTGGGGGGTGGGGGGCGGGAGGGGAGGGATTGGGGTCAGAATGGGGGGTTTGCAATTGTATGGGGGAATATAAAAATAAAATTTATTATTTAAATAAAAAATAACTAAATAAATAAATAAATAAAATTCAACAATGAGCTAGGGCTAAATAGTCTACTTGCTACTACTTTCAAGACCCCCATTAAAATAAGTTCTTACATGACTCTGGGAGGTAAACAGAGTGGGGACATGTCCCGTAAAGGTCTCAGAATGCTGTGTTCCTACATACCTCAAGGGAGAAGCACGCGAAGAGGTTCTTACATAGCAAGTAGCATGGTACTGGGTGACCTCTGAACTCACTTCCTTGCCAAGTGCATGGGAACTTGGCACTTAGATAAATTCCACATGGCACAAACAAAAAGAAAAACAGGATTATCATGCTGCTCCCAATATAACTGATTCTAAATCAGTCTAACCACAGCTACCGCCCTGGCCAAACCTGGTGGTTTCTGCCCGGGTCATCAAGTCGTGCCCAGCAGCCCGGCCCAGCCTCACACCCAGAGTTTTGAGACATCAGCCCTATCCAGTCAGTGAACTACTAATAAAGAAACCAATTTTATCACTAGAGAAAAGCTGGAAACTTAAAACAGTTAAATATTGGTCTTTAAATTCTGTTTTCATTTCAGTTGAGATGTCTGTTCTGTAGCTTTTTGGGGGAAAAAAAAAGCTATGCTGAGTCAAATAAGACAAATAAGACTTTCTAAATTCAGTTTTTTTAATTAAGCCAGACATTGAAGAGATTTGCAAAAATTGTAAAACAATGTTATTGTTTTGGAAAGTATAATTTTTATTAAAATACGTTGTATTAACATAAAATCAATTTATTATCAGAACAGGTGTTCCTTTGCAGGTGGTAACAAGGCTCAGTGCAAGCAGTAAGGCCTTGAGAGCAAATTTAAGTTTGGTGTGGCTGGTATTGATACCAAACACCAGCCTCAGTTTCCCTCAGCCAATAAAAGGAAAGCAAGTTTGAGGGGAAGGAAAGCAGTTTAATTTGTCAACTAACTGAGGAGGCTAGCAGACTCTAGTCTAAAAGACTATCGTCCTACCCTTTGGCAGAGAGCAGGGGTATTTATACAAAGGAATAAAACAAAAGGCAGATGGCAAGTGTCAGGGTGGGCATGTCCTTTTGATGCAGGCATATGGTAGACACCAACTTGCTTTGTTAGCACCTGATGTTTAACTTCCTTAGATGCTTGACTTCCTTATTATCCTCTTAAGGGTGTCCTTTCTTTTCCTTAGAATGCAAGAAGACAAACTTGTTAAATGCAATAGATAGGAATGCTTATCTGATGGGGCAGGAAGAGAGACCTGTCCTATTTAACTGCATCATATGAAGGGTGGAGGGAAGAGAGGGAGCCATAGGTCATATCACTGAACTCCCCTTCCTGGTTTAGGTTACTAATGAAATCTATAAAGAAATAGTAGTGGTGATAACAGAAAAATTAAGGTCTTCAAGAATGGAAGCATAAGCTTGAAAACAATTTTAAGTAAATAATAAAGTAAATTTAAGATTCAGAATCCCACCTACAGCAAAATCATTTTGGACATGCAGATATCCCACATATTAAGAAGCTTTATAAAAGATGCAAACTAGCCACCCATGTAAATGTGGGGAAAAAGAGGTTCTATGTGAGTAGAAACTAACTGAGGTGAAAGGAAAATTTGTTTTAGAAGCTGAAGGCTCAGTTTCTGGCTTAAGAAAACAAATTATGAGAATCTTATTTATGTGAAAAACCCATGCTGTTGAAAGAGTGTTCCAAGTTTCCTATGAACAGGAACAAGGTGTTCTACCTGAAAACATATGAAAAGCATACATTGAATACCTGCCTTGAGTGTTTCACTTGAAGGAAAACATCATTACTTGGGGCTGCCTCTTTGACAGCAATATGTCTTAAAGATCTAACAGCCTCACCCTCCCCTTTTCTGGGAAGGCAAAGTAATATCCTGGCCTGAAGGGTGTGGGACCCTGATGTTTTTTACCAAAGGACTCTTGGTTTTTTTCTTCACAAATTTGAATAACAGGTTATTTCCAAATGACTTTGTCTTCTCAAAAAAGCAGATGAACTATGTAATTGCTTTTAATAGAATTATTTAGAAATTTAATTAATGCAATTATGATTTTTCTAGGACCCTCTCTAATTCTGAAATCATATAGATAAGAACCCAGAATTTCCCCACAGCTAATACATAGATAATTTGACTACCTTTTGCTTTGGTGTGCAAATATGGTATTTTTTTTTCTGTTCTGTATCTTGATATAAAACTGTAATATCCCAAAGAGTAAACAACAAATCTGTAATTTTTATAATTTTATTATTTTCCGTAATAATTCTAGTACAGCTTGATTTTAGTAGACTATTTGACAACCGAATACGAAGATAATATAACTTCATTCCTTTAAATAGATCTGTTATATCTTTGGCTTATAAAAATGTGAGAACTCTTATTCATTTAATAAGATGATCATTTTGTTTTGTATTTTTATTTTTAGATGCCCCAGTGCATTTAAAAATATTACTTGCGGTACAGAAATTCATTTAGAATTTGAAACAAATGGTAAAGTTTATTGTGTTATTGACCATGTAACCAGTAAATTTTATTTTGTCTTGAAAGATGGACCCTGTGTTGTCAACTTCACTCCCAGTGTACTCGCTGAGACTGGATAAAGAGTATGAAATACGTGTGAGATCCAGACAACGAAATTCTGAAAAATATGGCGAGTTCAGTGAGATGCTCTATGTCACACTTCCTCAGATGAGCCCATTTGCATGTGAAGAAGGTAAAAATAAAAGATTAAAATAGCAGCCAACATAGCCTTTGTCAATATAAGTGATACATTCCTTCATTGTTGGGGCTTTTTCCAGATGAAGATATTTAGCATCACGCGCCAGCGTGAGCTCTCATTATTATCCATTACAAAAGTGGAAGGTTTAATTTTTGAATTACTCAATTCAGGAAAAGTCCCGGGTACCCGCAAGTTAGAAAGGAGAAGAAACAGTAAGAGATTAATAGGGGAGGGGAGATTGTCATAATTTCAGGTAACTCTTTTCTTTATATATTTCTATTTCTAAAACTTCTGCAACAACTTTGTTTTAGTTTCATAATTAGAAAAAGAGTTTTTCAAAAGCATAGTGCAGAAATGTGATATTTATATGGATTAATATAAGTGTGGCATCTAAGAGAAAGATGAATATTAAGTCAGCATAGGGAGTCAATAAAACCAATTCTAAAACCAATAAGCAAGTTTAGGTGTGACTTTTACCCGGAAGAAGACTTTATCAGTAGTGTGCCAGTTGCTGTCCATGAGTATTTAAAGATCCCATAGAAAAGAAATATGAAAACAATTGAAATATAAAGAAATGAGGCCTATGATTTCAGAATAGAATATTTAATGCTTTTAAAGATACAGAAATAAAGAAGGCTACTCAACAATGAGCAGTAAATATATAAAATGTATCACTTCCAAAATGAAAATTAGTTATAGCTAAAATTGGAAGGTTTGAACCCCATATGAGGAACTGAGGTTTGTTAATGAAACAATCATGAACTATAGAGAAATTAATGTTCTATTTATGCATTTACTGTGCAGGTAGAATTCATGATACTAAATAGTATTTAAATGAAAATGTCTCATTCTTTTTTCTAAGCCCTCCTTAACAGACTACTTATCTCAAACAGTATTTTATGTAATGATTTTCCATCTTAAAAAGAAAATTTGCCACATGCTCTTTAAACTCATTGTGATGGCATTTAATTCATTTAACATAGATCTTTTCAAACTGGATTTTCCTTCAGTGTTAAGAAAAAGAAAAAAATGAATCTCTAGCTTTGTTTTGTTAGTGAATATGTTGTTGACATAAAATTATAGCTACCACAAGACTCAAATGACATTCTCTCCCCCACTAATTCCTTACAACAATCATGCTATCTCCCTTGGGGATTTTAATAACTGAATAAGAAAATTAAAATCAGAAAAGAGTATCACAAAATGAAAGCCTACTTTGTAACAAAGCAAAATTCTGATGAATTCCACCTTTGTTTTATATTAAAAAGTGAATAATCTCTACAGTGTGGGAACCAGCTATAAGGCAACTGGCTGACACTTTTTCTTAAGAAATGAAATAGAAGTTTTCCAGATTTCCCAAGTCTGCTACAAAACATACTGAAATCTGAAGATGGGAGTCCAAGTAGTGATGTTTTTCTGTCAAGGATATGTGTATTTGTTAAGCTGCAAAATATATGTTCTACGAGTCTAAAACTTTTCCATTGTGATTCAAAAATAAAAGGTCTGGGGCCTCCCAGGTGGTGCAGCGGGTTGAGCACCGCGCTGTGAAGCTGTCCACAGCCTCCACAGTGCAGGTTTGAGTCCCGGCCAGCCAGGGAGATACCCACATGGCACAGCAGACCTCTCCTGCCTCGCCTGCTGCTCCCCTCAGCAGAGCTTTTGGTCTGTCTGCCTATTCTGCTCCCCGCTCTGTCTCTGGTGAATCCTCTTACCCTCCCGTGCCTCTGGCCTGTACCCCAGCTATTGTATAAATAAAAAATAAATCTTAAAAAAAAAAAAAAGTCTGCACTATCGTTTTGATAGATTTTTGTCTGAAGGATAAAATATACCACCATATCTTTAAAAATAAACCAAGTGGACAGTATTTAGGTAAATAGTGTGTTAATAAGCAACACTTTTTTCTTAGACCCTATGCCTTTAATGACACATCCTGGTCACATAAGGTGCTTGAAGCATTTGGTTGCTTTTTTTTTTTTTAATATAAACATGCGTAAACTTGATGCTTTTTTCTTTTTGTGTGTGAAGGGATTTGATGAAGCAAAAAGGTGGAACAGAAAATTCTCCTAAGCATTGCATTCTGTTTCATTTGTTATCAAATGAATCACTAACTTTGCTAGAGGAATAAAAATTTGAAATTACTTATGTTTAAAAAAGTGAACTGTTGTAAACTTCAATTCTTCATAATTCTATGACTGAGATAGTGTTCTTCTGTGTTTCAGATCTCCAATTTCCATGGTTCTTAATTATTATCTTTGGGATATTTGGACTAACAGTCATATTATTTGTATTCATATTTTCTAAACAGCAAAGGTAGGTGTGAAATGGTCTACTTTGATATGCTTTTACAGTTGTTTAAATTCCCATTTGTGTCTCCATGTGTTATGAAATTTTCTTTTGTGATTCATAAGTAAAAATTTTAAATTACCCAGTAAAACATTATGTGCAGTTGCACATTTACCAATTTTGTGTTCGTTAAGGAGAACACACAGGTGTCAGTCCTGTCTGGGACATTAAACCGAGGACATTAAGAAACTAAACCTAGCGACTGTGCACCTGGGTAGGCTGTCCCTAACCACCTTGTCCAACTCCTGAACAATTTGGTCCATCTACTCTAAAAACTATAAGGTAGTCCTGTGCCTTTGGCCAAGTTGAACACAGTCCTAATGTCCAAGCATATTTAAGTAGCAAACTAAAACTACCTACATAATGCAATCTCATAAAATATTTATAGGCTTCATATGACGGTGACTTCAAGTAAATATGGATTTTTTTAAAATTGTTTGGATATTTATGATATTGTATTTCACCTATATTTGTAAACGCAGCTAAAAATTTAAGTTTGAAGCACTCTCAGAATACTAGTGTTGTAAGGTTGTCAAGCATACTAGAATTTCCCAGTGAAAGCAGAAAGGATTCTTTTAAGTAACATTTAAGTTAAAACAATACCCCAAGGAATGAGGTAGTCTGTCAGCTCTCCCCAGAACCAGGGACTATAAAGAGCTTCCCATCTTATGTGATTTTGTTTGAAGTTTTGTGTGCCACATTCCAAGCCACTTCCCCCTTTCTTAATACGTGTCAATTCTCGCAAACTATAATGTAATTTGGCTTTGAAGAAAGTGAAGTAACGTCCGTGTTATCTTCACCTGGGCCTCTACACTCTTGCTCGTGTTCCCCACCATACAACCCATCCCTTTGAACCATTGCAAAATCAGGAAAGAAATACTGAATCAGCATAAAGCAGAAATGGCAAGCTGGAGCTCTGTAAGCCAAAATTCAATGTTTATTCTACAGGTCCATGCTCCGTGTTGTGTTTTTGATTTTGGAGTAAAGGTTTTGCTGCAAAGTGTTTACAAAGTAGGGATTCTTTTTACACAAAAATACAGATTTCCAGGTTATCTTTAAAAACTGAACATGCTGGTGAAATTGGGTTGACACTCCTGCATAGGTACATGTGCCAAGGCACATGGCCTGCTGTCCCATTTGGGAAGCACATTCTTTACTCTTTTCACCATGGCCATCCTTCCTGTGACATGGCAGCAGGCTCGCTTCATGCATTTGCATGACCTACTTGGCCCCTATAGTAGGGGCCAAGTCCACCACCTGACATAAGGTCGAACACACACCTAGAGAGTTTTCTACTAACTTGTCCCTATTGGCTTTGTCCACTTCAAAAGGAGAGGCACACAGGGCCTCCCTGGGTGACACAAGGGGTTAAGATGCAATCTATGAAACTATCCGCAGCCACTGCAGCACAAGTTCAGTCCCTGGCCGGCCAGGGAGCTACCCACATGGTGCAGCAGACCTCTCCTGACTCACCCGCTGCTCCCTCAGCAGTGTATTTCAGTCAGTCTGCCTGTTCTGCTGCCTGCTCTGTCTCTGGTGAATCCTCTCACCCCCGCACCTCTGGCCTGTACCCCAGTTCTTGTATACATAAATAAATATTAAAAAAAAAAAAGGAGAGGCACACATAACAGTCAGGCCCTAGACGTTTGGGCATCTTTGCTTCCTGTAATTAGGGTAATGCTGCATTTTTTTATGTTTCTGAACATTTGAAATAATCATTTTGTGATGAAAACCAAATAACACAACAGCATGACTGATGGCAAAGTCAAATACTTCAGATTTCAGCCTCAACTGTGCCAAGCATGATTTGGATTATTTTCTTGAATCTCTAAATCTTTCCACAGATAATAACATCTGCCTCCTTAATAGTTACAAGAATTAAAATACAAATATTTGGAATAGAAAATGGAGGTGCATCATGGAATTGTATATATAAACCCATGCTGATTAACAATAGCTCTAATTTAATATATCCCGGCTGAAATGAACCCTGTCATGACATTGGTTAATGAGATCACCTTACATAATTTTATAATTAATGTGAGTTCTGTGGTTTGAGCTTATCCCAGTTCACCTTTTCTTGAGCCACAAATAATTTTGGCTCAATATGGATTGGCTCTTCCTTCTCTTTCTTTCTTGTATTCATTCATTCATTCTTCCTTTATTATTCATTTAATTATCTTTCCTGCAAAGTACTAATAAGGTGGCCATGAAAACTACCTTTTTTGTAACTGAAGTGGAAACTGATTTTGGGAATTAAATTTCTTTTTCCCAAATACTATTGCTGAATGTCAATAAAAGACATTGAGGCAGGAAATGACAATAGAGAAACCATCTCTTATTAAAACTGAATTCAGATGACAGGTTTTTGTTGTTTTTTGGTTCTTTTTTATCTTTCTATAGTCTTTATCATTTACTGCTTAATATTTTCCCTCTCTTCCTTGTATTTGATAAAGTACCAGAATATTTGAAATAAGTAGTAGTGCCAATATTTTGCTTCTAACTTTTGAAATAAGAGATATTTCAAACCAAATTTTCTTTGTTTTCAAGGATTAAGATGCTGATTCTGCCTCCTGTTCCAGTTCCAAAGATTAAAGGAATTGATCCAGATCTCCTCAAGGTAATTGATTAGATTATGGATACCACTAATAAAATGATACCTGAAAAACTATCTTATAGTGAGAGCTTTTGCAAGCTCTATGTATCACATTTCACTTCTGGTACTCCTCTGGAGAAAATTCTTTTTAAATAGTGCATCACTTCGGGGCCGCCCTGGTGGCGCAAGGTGTTAAGCACCGCACTATGAAGCAATTCGCAGCCTCTGAAGCACGAGTTCAATCCCCAGCCAGCCAGGGAACAGCCCACATGGCGCAGCAGGCTTCTTCTGTCTCGCCTGCTGCTCCCCTCAGCAGTGTATTTCAATCAGTCTGCCTGTTCTGTTCCCCACTGTGTCTCTGGTGAATCCTCTCACCCCCCGCATCTCTTGCTGTACCCTAGTTCTTATATGCATAAATAAACAAATCTTTAAAAATAAATAAATAAATAATAGTCACTTAAAATTAGGGGAATGTCATGTATTTAAAAAGTTCTACACCAACATATTTTCTATTATATGATTTTTTTCCTGTTGTAACAAAAGTCACACTAACATATTTTCATGGATTTTTTTATCCTATGGTGCCATTACTATTCTTACTGTCACCATAATTAGTCTCTGAATATTATTTGTTAAATCACTTAACCATTCTATTTCCTTAGAAATCATTATCATTTCTTTTCATAGAATTTCACTTTATTTCTGTTTCCTAGGAAGGAAAATTAGAAGAGGTGAACACGATCTTAGCTATCCATGATACCTATAAGCCTGATCTCTACAATGATGACTCCTGGGTTGAATTCATTGAGCTAGATATTGATGATCCTGATGAAAAGACAGAAGGATCAGACACAGACAGACTTATAAGCAACGACCACCAGAAATCACTTCATATCCTTGGGGCAAAGGATGATGACTCTGGGCGTACCAGCTGCTATGAACCTGACATTCTGGAGACTGATTTCAATGTGAGTGACCTGTGTGATGGTACCTCAGAGGTGCCTCAGCCTCAAAGGTTAAAAGGGGAAGCAGATCTCTTGTGCCTTGACCAGAAGAATCAAAATAACTCACCTTCTAATGATGCTCCCCACTATACTCAGCAGCCCAGTGTTAGCCCAACACAGGAAAACAAACCAAGACCACTTCTCATTGGTGGAACTGAGTCCGCTCCTCAAGCTTCCCATAGTCAGCTAAGCAATCTGAGTTCACTGGCAAATATCGACTTTTATGCCCAGGTAAGCGACATTACACCAGCAGGGAGTGTGGTCCTTTCCCCGGGCCAAAAGAATAAGGCAGGGATCTCCCAGTGCGATGCACATCCAGAAGCAGTCTCACGCTGCCAAGCAAACTTCATCATGGACAACGCCTACTTCTGTGAGGCAGATGCCAAAAAGTGCATCACCATGGCCCCTCACATGGATTCTGAAACACGGGGAGAGCCAAGCTTTAACCAGGAAGACATTTATATCACCACAGAAAGCCTTACCACTACTGCTGGCAGGTCTGGGACAGCAGAACGTGCTCCGGGTTCTGAAATGCCTGTCCCAGACTACACCTCCATTCATATAGTACAGTCTCCCCAAGGTCTGGTCCTCAACGCCACTGCCTTGCCCTTGCCTGACAAAGAATTTCTCTCCTCATGTGGCTACGTGAGCACAGACCAGCTGAACAAAATAATGCCGTAGCTTTCTTGGATTCCCCATGAACTGCAAATATACTGGCAAAGAGTTGACTGGGGCATGAAATGCTTAAACCAAAACAATGTTTAAACCTGAGGGGCTGGGAGTGGGGGGATCGGGAGGGGAAGTGGATTCTAAATGCCTTTTCCTGAAATGTTGAAACCATGATATTAAAAAGAAGAAGATGACAACTTAATCAGATAGGTATTCCTGTTGTGAATTGTAAATATTTTAAAGAATTGTCTCAAAGACTGTTTAGTGGCAGCAATTGTCTTGTTATCGTGGGTGTTAATTTTGTGATACTAAGCATTGAATAGCTATGTTTTTAATGTGTAGTAAATCATGCTTTTTGAAAAAGCGAAATATCAGGTGGCTTTTGCAGTTCAGGAAAATTGAATGCAAATCATAGCACAGCCAGATTTTTTTTTTTTTAATGATTGGGTACTAAAATTATAGGTAAGAAGACAAAAAAAATAGTTTGGATATAAAAAGCACTTATTTTGACATAAAATCGATAAAATATTTTTAATAATTTACACTTCAAGCATGGCTATTTTATATTACACTGCACACTGTGTACTGTAGTTCAGGAGGACCCATCTAAAGAATGTAGCAACTACAGTCTGAAGCTTGGTCAGTGCATCTGAAGCAAAACAAAGAAGCAAATTAGTTTTTTACAAGGCTCCTTTTATACCTCCCCAAACATCTTGAATCTCAAATGATTGTAGTTACCTGCATTGTTAGAACATGCTTATCTTATCTGAATGTTTAAACAAATATGTGTTCATTTAGAAAACAAAGTGTTTGCACACAAATCAACTTACCATAAACCAAAAGAAATAAACAAGCAAAAAACCCCTTTTTTACCCAAAGTTTGGTTCATGTCAGACAACTTACAAAGTAAGAGAAATAGAAATGAGAGCTGGTTTGTCTTGCCCAGTATGCGGAAGTCCCAAGGCCGCACCTGCAGTGAGTGTTCAGCACCCACACATCATCAGCACCTTGCAGCCGTGTGGCTTCCAACATGACTTTGTCTATCTCAGTTACCTAGAAAGGGACTAGGGCACAAGCAGCACTTTGTAAGTTGGAGCAGACAACATGAAGTTAACCCGATAATGGAACAAAAAGGTCAAAAATGGGCTTTTCTTTCACAGCCTACTGCCAGACACATCATCATTATTCATGGTACCAAGAAACCGAAGAAACAAGATTTTAAATCCCCACAGACAGCTCAACATTTACTTAAACCAATAGCAGAAACTCTCTTCCCCACCCAATCTTTTATAGACTGTATTTGAAGTAGTAGAAGCTTCATCAGTTTTTGTTTCCCCTCTGAGTGGATTGGCCTCAAAGCAGGAAGTTGGGGGGAAAAAAAGAAGAGGCCTAAGTAATTTACACATTATTTTCTAATCCCATAATAACATAAACATCATTCTTAGGAGCATTTATAGCTCCCCAAAAGGTATATTAAAAAGAGAAGAACCTCCATCTCACTGAAGAATGCTTCTCAGTTGAAGTATTTCTTTTTGAAAGGCTTAAATAAGATGTTAAAGTTAGCTTTGACTTAGTGTTTGCCATTTAGCTCAGACCTTTTTAGGAAACAAGCTTGATGGTTGCTAATTTTAAATTCCCTGTTTCTTGTAAGAAGGGCCGTAAAAACACTAGAAGTTGGTGTTTAAAGTTCAACACATTACTTTGTCATAGATGTTTAATAGATTTTCTGCTACCTTGCTGCTATGGTTTTCTCTAAAAGCTACATAATTTACTTTCATATAAAATTTCATCGATGTGGAACCTAATTCAACTTAAAATTGTGTGTTTGGGAAAACTCTTATATTTCACAATAGACTGACAACATTTCAATAGCCAAAAATAGCTAAATACCTCAATCAGTCTCCGAATGTCATTTTGGTACTTTGCTGGCCACACAAGCCATTATTCACTAGTATGACTAGTTGTGTCCTGCAGTTTCTATTTAACTTTCTTTATGTCTGTGGATTTTTTTCCTTCAAAGTTTAATAAATTTATTTTCTTGGATTCATGATGGCATGCTTCTCTTGTCAAATACCCGTGTGAAAAGCACCTAAACCAGCTCACACTATAAGTTATTCTCCATGTAAGGGGAACTGGGCACAACTGCTAGGAACACATCAGTAACAGGGTGGAGACTTTCATTATGTGCTGGGATGGACAGCAGCAAAGCAAGTCACTCCTACTTTGGGGGGGTGAAAGAGGGACCCAGCTCAAAGACCCCTACTGGCCTTCCCAAGTTGTGCCTAGTCCTCACACTGCGAAGCTCTTTGAGTCAAGTTTCAGTGCCTTGTAATTTGTGTGACAAATTACGGAGGAGAAAGTTGGAAGCGGGGAGGTAGAAGGTGGAAGAGCAGTGCTTGAGCATTGTCATGAAGCTACACTTCTACCTTGAACGTGTAGCCTGGAAGGAGGAAAAGAAGTTTTTCCTCTGCCATTCATGCATTATCACAGGTCAGCTTGACGGACGAGCTGCTCGTCATCATGAGAAGTAATTCATAAATAGGCCCGGGAGAGAGGCCAGTCAGGTAGGTGTGTAGGGGTCTGGGTGGGAAAGTAATAAAGTCACAAAGCAGAGAGCCCTTCAAGGGAGGCTTGAAACAGGTCAACTGCTAAGCCCCAGCCCTTGGCTGGCGCTAGGTTCTGAGAGGTGGGAATGCGTGATGGTGTTAAGAAGCCTATTTATCTTGGGGCCAAACAATTATTGACTGTTTCAGCAACTTGCATGCGAATTGCCATGACTTCTCATAATATTGGAGGGTTTCCATTCAATACAGAGAAGAATTTCTGCCCTGTGTGTAGCCATTACCTGAAAGAACCACAGGTGAAACCTCAAGGTTTTCACTTCTTATTGGAAAATAGGGTTTAGGAAAGCATCTCTTTTTTCACTAAGTATTGGAACACATGCTGCCTGAACATTTATAAAACAGAAGGTCTCCATTTTAAATGCCAGATATGGTTTCTTACACAGTCCATCTCAGATGACATTGGGTTGCGGGTTATATATAGGGAGTGTTTCGAGGCTCCCAGGGATCCAGAGTGAAAGAAAGGGAAGGCTGATGAGGTCTACGGATTGAAAGCGCACCACCCTTTCTATTATGGCAGATTAAAATGGTTACACGTGTTTCGTATTTAAATTTCTCTGTTTCTACTAAAGCATAATTAGTACTGATATCTATTCATGTTCTACAATAGTTACATATTTACATAGTTCTATACCAAAATGTTAATTCAATGTCTTTCATGTTCCCTGTTAACAATAAGAAATAGGAGGAAAGCTAGAAGTTATTTAAATCTAAATTCTTTCATTTGGAATCCAAGATCCCACATAATTTTCCCAATCTCCTTTGCTAAGATATTTAAGAGCTGTGTGTAAAGACAACAGCATCTGAATATAAGAATTTGACCTTTGGCTAGCGTTCAAGCTGTGTTCCCTTGAAAGTCTAGGCTTATGATGTCAACTGTGTTACACAGGCAAAATTACTCACAGTGGGATGATTTCTCCCATCTGGATGTGATCAAACTAAATACCTGGAGATAAACCACACTATGGGCTTAAATACCTGGAGATAAACCACACTATGGACTTAAGTCTGGTGACTCAATTGCAATGAGCATGTTGCTCTGACGACACTGGAAGCCTGTGAAGTTGTAACGAGAGCTAAGGACTCCAGTGGGGCATCTGGACGCCTAAGCTTGGGGGCTCCTTTGTCTACTCAGTATGAGTGTCCTCCCCTGGCACCTGAAATGTCACTGGAGGAGGAAGGAAAAGAAGTACTGGGCAGGTGTATATAATCTGTAGACTGGTGCATGGATTGCTGCTTCAACTACAACTGTAAAGCAGAAAACCCAACGCTGCTCTGTCCTACCTCCTTCCTGTCCTACATTTTCCCAAGCTGACTGGGGCCAAGGGTGGTCTTGGTCATCTGGTGAGCTTAAGAAGATCCCCTTGAGGATGTAGCAAGAGATACTTGCCACTCCTTGAACAGTTTGTGCTTTCTTAGCTCCATGTCCTGGTTCATTCCTCTTCCTCTGCCTGAAAAGCTCCCACCTACCAATTCAGCATGTCAAAATTTCCCTCATCCCTGTGACCCAGCTCCAGTGCTTCCTTCGGAGTGCCGCCCCTACCCGCTCTGAACCACTCCTAATGGTGTTTATCACACTCTGGTAGTTAGCCCACCTGAAAGCTTCCTAGATTCCATTCACCAATGTGTGTTCTGGGGCACAACTGTTCCCTGAAATATTTCTAAATGAATGATTCTGTAGTAAAATAAGTTTGGAAAACACTTCATACTACCTAGACCTCTATGAGAGCCAGAATGCATAATGATGTTCAAAAGCCTCCCTGGTAATGTATATTAAATAATTACTATACGTAATTATATATACTAAATATATATTTAAATTTCCCAATTTATTTAACAGTGAAAAGGTACCTACCCATTTTTTATATATATAAACACTTGGGGAGAGCTTCTCTAAGAAGGGTAGCTAGCATGCCTGGCACAAAATAACAGTATAGTGAATCTCAGATGAATGTAAATCTGCATGCAGCATCTTTATGTGAAGCTATGAAACTTACTTTCTTTAAAAAAAAAAAACTTTCTTGATAAAACTTCCTAAAAAATAAAAGACAAAGCAGCTGTGTAATTAAAATAACCACTGATTCTTCTTATCTCAACTCAGGTACATTATTTTATTTTTTCATAAGCAGAATGACATTTTTCTAAGGTCTGAAGGTCACAAGGCATTTGTTATCTTCTCTGTGACAGTGACTCTATCTCCTGATTCAAACAGTTGAAATTTCCCATCCCTTTAGCCAGAAGACTGAAGGGAACCATTAACACATGGGTCTTATCAGCATATATTCTCAATATCATTCGGTACAGCCATTTTTCTCTGAAATCTGAGATTCTCAACACTGAGATATTCTCATATCATTCTTCATGAAAAAGGAGCATATTTTGCATTGGAGCTACTGAATAATATGTATCTGTTATTACCTGAACAAAAATAATTTACTCCTTCCTGCTGTCTGATAAGTTAAAGAAAAAAATCACCCAGAAGGAACTTCAAACAGAATAGTTTTTTGCATAGTAGTCTTTTATGGGATTTATAGAGGAGCAATTTTCTATTGATTTTTGTTTGTTTTTTAAGAATCACATCATTGTTCTGTGGGTATTAAGGGATGTTACCAGTATTTTCTATGAGGATAAAATAATTGGTAAGGAAATTGTATGCACTTTGACCTTAGTCAAAAATCCAAAGTAGCAAGATTTTTATTTTAGTTTTCCTTCAGATGGTACCATATGATAAAAATACCTTGCATAGTGTTTTTATTTTATAAACCACTTTTGTGTGTGTTATTTCATTTAGACATAGTAAATCTGTATCGTTGACAAGTTAGACAATATTTTTAATACTTTACAGGTGAGAAAACCAAGGTTCAGAAAACCTAAAAGATTTACCCAGAATTAATTAACTAGTGAGTGATGGAGCCAGGTGGAAAACACAAACCTTCTGCCTGGTCCTGGATTCTAAAAATGATGTGGGCTATAACTTTTCTTGATGAGGAAGAGCTTCTGATCCTAGTCACAGTATGAAGAAAATGGAAAGCTCTTTTATGATATCCAGGGATCCAAAGAATTACCTACTAAGGATAAAAGATTCTTTTTCTGATAAACTTACCCAATACCAGCGAGAATTAGTGACTGCTGAATAACCAGTTCAGGGAGGGAGGGAGTCCGGATTTGTAGCCTCTGCCAATTTCCATGTTATAAATCCCCCCAATGTGGCTGATTTTAAGCTATCACCGTTTCATTGCTGAATATGAACTTGGGAATGAATTGCACAGTCAGCTCTAATGAGACTGTGCAAACCAGCTCAAGTACACTGCTGGGTCTACTCAACCTTCTAATTTCATCAAGTGGAATTAGACATTTTTGACAATGCTAGATAGCATTTCTAACTAACATTTCTTATGGACTTACCATGTTCCAGACACTATTCTAAACACTTTACACACATGAACTTACTTTATCCTCACCACAATCTCATGAGGTAAATTCTATTATTCCCAGTTTACTGATAGGGAAACTAGGCACAGAGAGTTTCATTATCTTGACCAAAGTCTCAAATTAATAAATATTAGAACCAGGATGCAAACACAAGTACTTGAGCTCTGAGTCCATACCTTAATCTCAGTCTGTCCTGCTTCCGAACAATAATTGTGTACAGATTACTTGTACATAATGATAACAAAAGTCAGCCGATCACATACTGATCCAGGCAGATAGATCACATTCAGTCTTGCTAATTTTATAACACAAGCCGCATCTCTCATACCTTCAAGGTCAACCATCTAGATTAATTCATATCTGGGAAAAACAGATATTGCTACCTGTCTGAGTCTTCCATACAACTACAGTGATTTCACCTGATCCCTCTCCTCTTTCCCCAAGTTTCCTGCTGGCCACTCCACACATCTAGAACATAGACCTTTTTGAACTGTGAAGCGCTGAATTGGTAGGCCAAACTTCTTGACACTCTCTGCTTCCCTGGGCAGCTAAACCAGAGGTGTGCTTCAATATGGAAGCTACCTGCCACATGTATCTTGTAAATGTAACATGCACACTAGATTTCTATGACTTTACCAAAAAGCAACAAGAACATAAAATATCTCACTAATAAAATTTTATTTGATTACACGTTGTGATAATGATGTTTTGGATATATTGAGTTCAATAAAATAAGGTGTCAAATTTTTTTTTAAAGGTTGTGATTAATTAGAGAGAATTACATAGACCAGGAAAATTTCACTTTTACTGGTGGGAGCATGTGAACACACATGGAAAAAGCAAACCCTTGTTAAACAGAGGGTCCTCTTGTGGGCACACAGCAAGCCCTTGCCTCTCTTAGCCTCCCTTTAGCCCACCTTTCTCCCTGAGAATCCACCCTTCTTCAAACCATCACATCTTTAGAAAAACCCAATCCTGCTTCCACAGAGGTTGATCTGAGCCTTATCCATACCCCCA